TGTGAAGCACAATGCTGTGCTCCTTGGAGAGTCTTTGGCCACTCAAACTCTCCTCCTCACCATGCATTAGGACAATATAGACACACATCTTCTTCCAGGCTGATTTGTAACGTCTTTAGTTGATTGGAATTTCTTAATTATTGACCTGAAGATGAAAATGGGGATTTTCAATGCTTTAGCTATTTTCTTACAGCCACTTTCTAGTTTGTGAAGCACAATATTGTTCTGTGCATCAGAACTATATTATTTGGTTTTACTCCTTATGATGGATGATTAAGGGAATTTAGCCTTTGTGTTTATAATCCTGTGGAACAGGAAGTCACGTCAGGACAATTTCATGGTCTTAGTCACCCTGGTGTGCTAAAAAGAAAATATAAATATGAATGGGACAACCCAGTCTCATAAAAATACGTACCTCTGGGTGCTTTTCTGCAACACCGTTTTTACGCACCTTATTGCACGCTTCACAGCAGTTTCAAAGAGAAATGTCCACTGAGTGGCGCCAAAACACGGGTTCAATACGTGAACCCTGGCACGTTTGTATTACGTTAATATAGGTACGTATTGCTGTGTTGTTATTACGTTGCTTCAGGTGCGTATTGCGGCGGTTCAGAATTCAAATATCCGGGGACTGTCGCTAAAAGTTAATGCTCTATCGTGTTGGAAATATGCCCTACACCAAACCCAACCCTAAACCTACCCGATAGTGTTAACAAATGCAAAACTGATATAAAAACGCATTTGTTGATGCAACCGTGTCATTTGAACGTACTTATATGCAGATTTGATCCGTTTTGTCGAACCGTAGTTACACGGGATTCGAACCAGACCTCCTCGCCTCTCAAATACGTCTCCGTACTCCGTGCGCTACCGAACACACCTACCATCGATGAAAACCCATTTATATGAAGCTGGATATATGCGGTGCTAACGTTCAAAAGCATCAGTTTTCAAATCTCCCAGCATATTAAAATTGTTTTGAAGTCATAACATGATATTCTTCAAGTAATTGTGCGAAAATTACGCTTTATTAATCGAAACTCTGTAAATGTGTGTGAAAAGGAATAAAAGGTGTCGGATTTTTACTGCCTCTAGTGTTCACTTCTTTTGGAAACTGCAGTGATATGTACTTATTGGTATGTATTTCGCGTCTCGCAAAAATGTGCCCCCGGGTACATTTTTGCCATGAGACCAGGTTGGAATGAGAATATACTTCAGAGATATTTCTAGGGGCGCCAATAATTGTGGCCAACATGCATTGGAGAAAAACATTTCATAATGTGATTTTCCCCCACTTTCAATTGTTTTACTTCAACGAAAGGTTAGAATTTTGTGAATGTTTCGAATGAAAGTCAGATTTATTTTCACAGCCACCTTTGGTCATATTTACCAACATGTGTGCCAATATTAATGAAGGTCAATGTATATATCTCCAGTATCAACAGATAGATAGAATGAAAGAATGAACTATGATACATATACACACACACACACACACACACACACACACACAATATTGATAGGTAGAGAAACAAAATATGAAATCTCAGCTAATGATATTGCAGTCTCAAGATATGGCTAAAATCAAAATGCAGGACGAGTTACATGCCAAATTTAATATTTAAAGTATGAAACCCCCTAACTCAGGTGTTTCTAAAGCAGGTCTTAGCAAACACCATTAGTCTATATAGGGCTACTAAATAATAGGCTAATTAATCAATTTTTTGATGGATTGTAGTTAGGGATGTAGCGGTATGAATATGTCTTATCACGATTATAGTGACCAAAATTATCACGGTTATCAGTATTATCACGGTATTGTTCAAATGTGCTGG